TGCACTCCACCTTGTTTAGGAAAATTTACGTCCCACAAAAAAAACCATGCAGTGCACTTTGTTCGTCTGATGAAGTGTGGTTTTTAGTCTGAAGCAGTGCGCTTTTCTGTCTGATGCAGTACCCACGTCGAAGTTGCGTCTAATCCATAACTTTTCAACGGTAATATTACACGCCTCATTCCGATAAACGGTTAAAAAATTAGAGCGAAAACAGTACCAAAAAAATAACGCGTGCAGTTTTTTTCAACGAGAAGTTCACTCGTGTGAGTACTGTACACTTGATTCAAAGTATGACGTACACTTGCGTTCAGCGTGCAGTGCGGAAGTGGTGTGCAGAATAGTTATTCTGCTAATATTAGCAGAATAGACCGTATATATATATATATATATATATATATATATATATATATATATATATATATATATATATATACCCAGGGTGACGAATAGCGCGACCCAATAAACCCGGACGGAGGGAGTATTAGGTTGGTCAAATTGACGATCTAGGGGTACGCGTACGTCCTGTAAACTGAGAGAGAAGGAGTAGTAGATGTTTGTGTCAGGGTAAATTTGATGCATGCCATTACCAAAAAAGGGTTTCCTCCGCTTTGTATTTCAAAGCAATCACCATTGTACACATCGCAATGCTGGGGCGAGCAGCACATCAAGCCCAAAGAAAAAGAAAAAGAAATAAATGCCAACAACGCCAGCTCGACAAAGTGTGGCAGACCCGCGACCGCTGCGCCCTCCGGATACAAACCACCACAGCCCTAGGCTCCGATCTACCGTGAACTAAGCAGCACCTCCAAAAAGGGATGCGACGTCGACGACGCTGCTGCCCGGACCAGACCTAGGGTTTCCCCCAGTACGCGGAGGGAGGTGGGGGATAGCTACTCCCGACACCCTCCAAGAAGGGATAGTGACACCCGCCGGTGTCACCGCATCGGAGACGGACGAACCGGCAAGGATTTCTCCCGCACGCCAAACCCCACCAGCCAACTGGAGCCGACCCGCCAAACCACCGCCCAACCATGCGCCATCACGGTTGCGCCGCCACCAACGCCGTCTCACTGCGAGCACCACCACGAGGCCAAGAAGACTGGAGAGAGGATCCAAGCGACGGGAGCAGCAGCACCGAGGCCGAGCGGGAGGGAACCACCTCCACCGCCGTCGTGCTGGAGGCTCGCGCCTCCGGCACCGTCGCGGTAGCCGTCCGGACACGGCAGCGGGGCATACCAAGCCACCCCTGGCCCGACCAGACCCAAAATAGGCCGGCTAAGCCCCGCCGGCCACGCTGCAGCAGGCTGGCATTGACGCCACCAGCCCCCGCCGATCAACGGCGCTCACCACTGCCTCCTGATGGCCACGCCAATGCCACGCCTGTCGCCGGCCTACCCAGGCCCAGATGGGGCCTGAAGGGCCCAGATCTGGGCCGGGCGGGCGCCGCCAGCCCGCGCAGCCCCGCCGCCAACGGCGTCGCCGCCGCCCAGAACTCTCCCCCCGCCTCCGCACAGGACCGCCGCCGCCTGAAGAGACCGCCCGGAGCGCTCCGTCCCACGCCGGAGAAACCCTAGACGGGTAAGGGCCAGGGACCGCCGCCGCCAACGTCGCCCGGGCCAGGCCCGCGGCGGGCGCCGGCGACGGCGGCAGGGAGAAGGAGGAAAGAGGGGGAGGGCTTGCGGGGGAAAAGGGGAGGCGCGGCCGGCCGCCCGCGGGGCGGCGCGGTCGCGGTCGAGAGGGAGGGTTCCGAATGCACTTCCGATGCATGCCATTTACTACTCGTTTGCCTTGATGAGGAGACGCCATTGTGGTGCAGCGCTCTGCCATTGGTGGGAGGCGAAAGGGGGCCACGGTGGAGCATCGGCAGAAGAGAAGTTTTGTTTGTGCCGAGGGTTGAATTGTTGATTCACGTCACGCTAACGGAAGAGGAAAATCAACACTCCGTACTGTACATGCATTGCATCGGGCATCGGCAGATGAAAAGGTCCTACTGTCTCCGTGTTTCTTTTCTGAAAATGAGGAGACAACGATAATACTCGTCAGGTTGGTGTTGGCACGACCAGAAAATACTGCCTCCTTTCCAAATTACTCGAAAAGATAGCACAGATATCGCTTGGCAAATTTCATGGTTTGCTACGACCTGCGGTGTTAGGGAAAAGGCCATATTATAATTCAGAAGCATCTTGACACTTTGGGCGGGCAGAACAGCAGGCATGGGGAGCGTTTGGAACACCAATGACAGTACTACAGTCCAGCTGAACTTGAAGACCCGAACTAATCATCATCCACACCACATTTTGGAGAATGTTTTCACTGTACTCGACCCCAACAACCTTTTCATCCTCCCAACGCATCATGTATTTTCAAGACAACTACAAAAGCCTTCCCTCAAAAAAAAAAAAAACTACAAGGCCTGTTTCCCTCTACAATCCCTTTGAAGTCGATTTTTCTGAAACTGAAACCGGACAAACCCTCAACAGCATAACAAGGAATAAGGACATAGCTACTGGGCTGCACTTCCAGCATAACAAGGAACCTTCTATTAGCAAAATTTGTGACGTGACATTCGTTATTATTTCCCTCTGAACATTTCTCTCCACAAGAAACTGTGTATCCTAAGCTCACGTCCGGCGATCGCCGCCACGGCAACGGGTTGTTACAAAGATATTGATTGTCAATGCTTGATGACTACACGCAGATTTTATTTTTATTTAGCTTAGTATTTTAAACTGAACTACAACACAAGGTCCAAAGGTCCACATGATTTACATTCAGTTTTTAGTTGGTGCTGGTCGAAGGTAACGAAGCTTCTATTATCTAAAGAAAGTTCAGAATTGGGATGTCAGAGTACGTAATGGGCTTAATGGCCTGGGCTGGCGGTATAGCCCGTTAATCTCAGGGTTAATTAGATATAAGGGTCGCTTATTTAAGGGTCAAGTACAAGTAAGCCTTACTTGGGAGTCAAGTAAACCTCTATATAAAGAGATGAGATGTATCAATCTAATCAAGTAAGAATTAAGAAGGAAATCCTTTCCATCTTGCCCGGTCATGGGCAAAAGGCCCCCGGCTGGCCCTCTCGCGCCCTCCTTCTAACAGCGCCATAACAATTTGGTATCAGCTAACTCCGGTTCAATCATGTCTTCCTCCGTCGCGCCCGCCCCCGCCGTCCTCACCCCGGAGGAGGTGTCCGGGGCGCTGCGGGACCTAACCCAGGCGGTCCAGGAGATCCGTCTGTTCTTGGTCGGGTCCTACGGGCCGCACCCGGCTGTGCCGCCCATCGCCGCCACCGCACCACTGTGGCAGCCGCTGCATCAGGCGCAAGCGGCCTCCGCCGCGCTCGTCGGGTCACACCTGGCTGAGCCGCCCATTGCCGCCACCGCGCCGCCATGGCTGCCGTGGCTTCCGCCGCACCAGGCGGCCTCTGCCGCGCTCGCCGGGCCGCTACAGCTGCCATCCATCGCCACCACCGCCCCGCCCTGGCTGCAGTGGCAGCTGCCGCCCCTGGCGGCCTCCGCTGCGCCCGGCGCTTCGCCGTAGCAGCCGCTGCAGCTGCAGCAGCCACCGCCGGTCAGTTTCGGCCCCACATCAACGGCGCCGGCGGGAGTCCCAATCCACCAGATCAAGTTTCCGCCGTCGCCATCACCGCTTCCCCAGGGCGTCCCCATCCAGCAGATCATGTTCCCGTCGTCGCCGTCACCGTTTCCAGCTTGGATCAGTACCTGTTACATGTCGGCGGTGGTGAGGCTGCAGGCTGCTGCGCGCGGCCTCCTAGCGTGTCGGTGTATGCGGGACATGCGTGGTCTGCAGCTGCCGCTCCTCCCATTTGCACTTCGCTGCGCAAAGGACCTCAATCTCGTCCGCTGCGCAGGGGATCTTGGGCATGCTGTTTTCCCCATGGACATCGACCTCAAAGTCTGCGACATCGGCGGTTGGGGGGTGCACCCCTCCTTGCCATTCTCCATCGACAACCCTCCACTCTTCTCTGTGCGGCGCAAACCAACAGCCGTCCGGCGGGAGAAGGCATGGTGTCACCGACAGGAGAGCACCACATAGCACCACTACATTCCGCCGCCGGCCGCTGCTAGGGCGCCTCTGCTGGTTGCTCTTGCGACCACTTCCAGATGGCCATACACATGCACTCCTTTTATCCAGATGGTGTCCATGGGATCCAGGTGGCTGTACATGTGCACGTCCGACGTGCGGATGGTGTCCACTTTATGTTCAGGGGTCCAAAATAAATCGTCCCAGTCCATTTCAGGTTGAGAGTAATAAAACAAGCCGAGATGTAAAAGGCTTGTTTTTAGGTGTTAGGTTTGTGTTGCGTCGAGTCATGGTTATAAGTTGGTTAGGCTGCAGTTCGAGGACAAGCTGCATGTCCAGGTGGGGTGTAGTGTTAGAGTACGTAATGGGCCTAATGGCCTGGGCTGGCCGTATAGCCCGTTAATCTTAGGATTAATTAGAGATAAGGGTCGCTTGCTTAGGAGTCAAGTAAGTCTTGCTTGGGAGTCAAGTAAACCTCTCTATATAAAGAGAGAAGATGTATCAATCTAATCAAGCAATAATTAAGAAGGAAATCCCCTCCATCTTGCCCGGCCGTGGGCAAAAGGCCCCCGGCCGGTCCTCTCGCGTCCTCCTCCTAGCAGTGCCATAACATGAGACCATTTATGCCAGCATTGGAACCAACCATGAAACTAACTTCACATCCAGCCTAATGTGACCATGCAAGCATGGAGTGATTGACTTAATAATTAAACTAATATGCAATGGCTAAGCAAAGGTACATACGTAGACAGGCAATCTCAATAATAATAATTTCCTTCGTCTCGCAAGAAAGAAAATAACCATTCCACTCAAGTCTCAAGAGTAATTGATAAATAGCATACATCGAGAGAAGTAGCATAGCCATAAGTATTAAATCTGGATATGGCATATATGATAACAATTATGTAGGCATTACTACTAAAATTTGGATGACATATATGATAATAGTACCATATGCATTACTTCCACATTGCCATGATAATATCCTTTGTCACTTTCAGTTCAGCGGGCAAGATTGTAGATATCACCTCCTTGAGAAGAGATGGGCAGCTGGATTTCAGATGCTCATACCCATCACTCTTTGCCACCATCGCCTCCAAATTGGAGGGGGTAGCAAGGAATTTCAAACAAGCTTCTTTCAGATGATGAAAACCATGTTGTTCGGCTAAAACCAAACTGGTTGCCACCATGCTGGAATCAATGTGATTGCATAATTTCTCCTTGCATATTAGCTTTAGCCTGCCAATGTTGTACCTGTCAGCTGCTACGAGCAGATGGCCGGCCATCACCACATCAAGCACTGCTGGAAGTGAGTCAGTGTATATGAAATGGAGCAAAGACTCGAACACATCACGTTCCATGTCACAGATTTCAATAGGGCTAGCGGCAGAACTCTCCTGCATGGCCCCGAGGAGCTCCGCCTTGAAGACGGATGACCGGGCAGCAAGGACACACCTATGAGCGGAGAATATCTCTCCGCCAACTTGAAAGGTTAGGTCTGCGGCGTCTTTGTTATACAGGAGGTCCCTGAGATGCCGGTGCAGGTCGCTCGGAGGAACCCTTGATTGTTTGTCGGTGTGGGTCTCCTTCATGATTGTGACATCTCACCTGATGGTGAGGCAATCGTCTCTCAGGTGCGCCGATCCCTCTAGATCAACCTTCTTGACGAAGTCCTGGTAGCCCCTGGATGAAACTGCCCTTGAGAAGGTATTTGCATGGCCACGGCTATATGAAGGCACCGGTTCTCCATTCAGGTCAAGCACACTGAACGTGTATTTCGCCTTCACATCTTGGGCACCAACAGGTTCGAGAAATAGATAAACAGATATGAAATCGGGGTAGCTCTTACGGCTACCGTTTGGGTAATACCTCACGACCCAGTCGTGGCCGCCAACACCAAACCGGGTAGAAGTCATGCACTCGCCATTCTTGAGTAGCGCCTTGGCTCTCGAGTATCCATCTACCTTGAGCACAGACGACACTTCATCAGATTCAGCTACAATGGCAGCAGAGATCGTGCGATGCTCTGCCATTCTCTCTGTGAAATGGAGGATCCATCTGTGACCTTTCTGGTATCTCGTATTAATAGAACGATAAATGTATTGAAAGAATCCCAATTAGAATCCGTACCATAATGGCCCTCCCTGATTGCATAAGAAAGTATGGAAAGGAATAACGGAATATCTTTTCTTTCCTTTGAAGATACTGGTATTTCTTTTGGGAAATGTTAACTGGCTGATGTCAGTTTTTTCACATTTTCTGGGTGAACCTTGTTATTGCCGTCCGATCAAGCCGCACAGATCGATCTCGTCGCAGCAGGTTGCCTGCCACGTCATGTACATATATATAGTCGTTCGTTGTGCGGCCGAACACAAGAAACGAAGCATGCTGCACACAGCAGTCATCACCCATTCACCCTCTCCCTCTAGTGTCTCTCACCCCCACCCCACACATTTTCTTCTTCCCCGTCCCTCCTTGGCCGTTGACCACTCTCTCCCTCACCGGGAGTTCGGGACCTGCAGATCAAGGCGGGACGAGGTTTTCGCATCTGATGCGAGAACTTCAGTCAAGTCAGTGACTGAACCGCACAGGTCA